ATTTTTAAATGCATAAGAGTATATTATAATTAGCTTCTTTTAAATGTTATCTTATTGTATTGATATTATAACCTGTGCCCAAACAAAATGTGTTCTTCTAGACAGAAATGAAAAGGTTTGTATTTGCTGAGAGGAAATCCTCTGCAGCTCAGGAAATGATGCTTTCTCTGCCAGGTGACCTGTTCCTGACAATTATTTTAAGACGAAGGAAACGACACAGACTGTGGTGGAGTTTTGTTTTATTCTCACAAATTGACGCCCCGCTTCAAAGTCAGAGTGGTGGACACCATCAGTATCACTTATCATCAAAGACATCCTAAAATCGGGGTTTAAGGGGATTGTCTGTGTCAAGGTTCCTGATTACAGTGTTGCACTGTTTTTAAAGGCAGCATACGAAAGAAAAAAAGGCAACATGTTTCCCCCACTTTTTTCCTGAATGCAATAGTTTTGAGCAGAAGTGCATCGCTCTGTCTGACACGTGTGTCGCTGAAAGTTAAAAACAAGTTACAGAGTCTACGTCTCCAGTAGAACTCTGACTATTTCAAGCAAATGAAAGTTCAAGCATTGATTTACATCAAAACACAATAAGACATTGTAATAACTTTCTTTTTGTGTTTTCTTTTTTTTTACATTGATAAAATTATGAATAAAAGAAGATTATTCTGTTTATTATCTGATTAATAAGAAGAAAATTTCTCTTTACTGTTTAAGAAAACATGTTATGACTTTAACTTGAACAGAGCTCTGTCTCTTTAAAGGAAGCCTTCTGAGACCAAGGTCAAAGTCAGGTGGAACTGTTTATTCCACCCCTAGGTGACCACTACACTTCTCTGACTGACTGTGCCATCAGCAAACTAAACAGGAAAAAAAACATCATAAATACAATTAAGATGTGCAGCGATTGGCTGGGCATCTTCACAAGACATGGAGATGTATAGCTGCATGTCATCAGCATAACTGTGTAAAGCTTATTCCTTGGTTCCTCATGACTCCACCCAGTGGCAGCATGTACAAATGAAAAAGTAGGGGGCCTAAAATAGAGCCTTGGGGGACGCCATAGTTAACCTCATGGCTCTGCGAGGCACATGTATCCATTTTTACCAAAAAAAAGCTCTATCTGCAAGATACATAGGAGTTGAACCACTGCAAAACAGTACCTTAAAGGCCAATCAAGTGTTTAATCTATTTAAATTTTTTCTGATCAACTGTATCAAAAGCTGCACTCAGGTCCAATAGCACAAAGACTGAGATCTTGTGTGAATCCAGATTACACCTTAAATCATTTATAGTTGTTAGTAGGGCTGTCTCTACACTGAGGTTTGTCCTAAAACCAGACTGATATGTTTCTAAAATACCAATGTCATTAAAAATATTTTACTGAATATAATTGCTGCTGGAATGTAAAAAAAACACAACAAAAAAGACATATTCAGAATAAATAAATAAATCCCTTATGAAACAGCTGCAGCGTKGACTGTTAGAAAGTTGCGCGGCTTAGAAAATAGTTCTGACATTTACCAGGTTATAATGATCTATTTGGTGTGTGTGGTCTGCTCCAGACGAGCAACGGATGAAGAGGAGGAGGAGGAGGACAATGGGACGAAGAGGAAGGAGGAAGAGGAACGAGGGAGGAAGACACCTGATTATAGGGCTTACGTGACATCTGGACAGTTGTTTGGAGAAGGTGTGTGTGCTTCAGGGACACACCTGGAGTACCTTATTTGGTGTTCAAACTTAAGTTCATTTTAATCACCTGAGTTTGTCCTCCCCCTCCCCCAAAGCAGAGGAGCTGGTCGTAGGACCAGAAACACACAAGTCTTCTCATGCTGACAGAGGAAAACATTAGTTAATTGGAATAGTTCAGTCTTTGAAGAAATTCTGAATTTACTCAAGGAGAGTTGAAGCAAAATATATATTTTTTATATACATGAAGCTCCAACCGGGAGATGATCAGTCTGTCGTAACACCTGGAGCCATCTTGAGGATAAAACCCTACACCTTCCACATTTTATACAGAGCTGAACAGAACAGAGTGAGGCCTGCACCGAGCTGTGGTGGTCGCTACTCACGTCAGACAGCAAGAAACTCTGTGTGTGTGTGTGGGTGTTTCTCCCACCACTGCAGTGTCTGACTGCCACAGTTTAAAAACACACGTGTCTGGTTAACTGGAGGTTCAAAACTGACCGTAGGAGTGAGTGTCTGGGCCTTTTGAACTCTTTGCTTCCTAAGACTAGGTTCAAACTGGCTGGGAAAAACACAGAGGAGGCTGACTGAGGGCGAATGAGAATCTGCACAGTAAACCAAACATCATTACTCAAAAACTACTAACATAGAAACACCAAAAAACAAAACAAAAAACAAAACAAAACAAACAAACAA